GCGGCGTTACTGAGAAGGCCCCGAGAGGAGGGCGGCGTTACTGAGAAGGCCCCGAGAGAGAGAGAGAGGGACAGAATAACGTCCATTACATCTGCGAGGCTTGGGGTGTGGTATTGGGGTGGTAGGAGCCACGCATAGCCCATAAGGCTTGGGTGCACGGTACAACCGTGACAGGAGAACCATGGCCAAGAGGACAGAAGGCAGCCTCCCTATAAATATATATAAAATCAAAGACATGGCAGGCTAGAATCAGAGGGTGCAAGACGACAGCTTGGCACGGTGAAGGAGGCAGCAGGGGAGAGCACGGTGACCCTGACGTCCCTCCTGTCACACCCTGCAAGTGGCACAGTCAGAGCAGAGCTCATGGGGGGGGAGAGTGCGGGCAGGCTGCCTTCTGAAGATTTGGCCAGAGGCAGGCTGGCTCCCCACCGCTGCACGCACTCCCAGAGGACAAGGGGGCATGTGCTGCCGTGCCCCCCCCTTCCCGATTCTGTGTGCAGGGTGGGAGCAGGCTGCCCACTGTAGGTCCAGGTTCCTTGTCCTGTTGCCCTCCCCCAGGGATCTGCAGGACCCGGCAGGGCAGAGCAGAACTGGGTGGGGAAGCTCCTTGCCGCTGCAAGCTCTGCGGTGCCCTGGCACTGTGCACCCTGCCTGCCCTGCAGCAGCAGGGTGGCAGTGCATGGTTGTGCCCCTTGCTGTTGCCAGCTAGGTAGGGGGCCACATTCTCAGGGCAACACAGGGCGTGGAGAGGTGGCAACAAGTTTCCCCACCCAGCCCTACTCTGCTGCGCCAGTCCCACCCACTGGGCTGTGGAAGCCCAAGGGAGGGCGGCAGAGCAAGGAACCCCAAGCCGACAGCAGGCTGTCTGTCCCAGGCCTGCGCATGGATCTGGAGGGCACGTGCTTCCCCACCCTGGGGAGTGCACACAGCAGTGGGGAGCCAGTCCCCTTTGTCCCCTGGACAGGTCATCTGCAGCCTTGTCCCCTTCCTCACCAGGGCCCTGTGGTCACGCATTGCAGCTACAAGCCCCACACACTGCACTGCCCAGCTTGGCAGCAGCCCCAGCTCTGCCCTGCCCAACTCCCTCCTTCCCTCCCTATGGGGGCCAGAAACACCCCCTCCTGCTGCCAGCTGGAGGGGCTGATCTGTGCTTACACGTGCATGTGGCGCCCCCTGCCTGATTACCCTTCACCCACTCCCCCCAGCCCCTTGCAGGATGGAACTGTGCCAGCCTGCAGAGAGCTTTGGATAAAAGCAAAATCTGTGCGTTTCTCTGTTAAAAATTAAATTGTATTTTTGTCAGATAAAAGGGAAACTCCACAGTTTTTTCCACAGAAAACCCAGATCTTTGCTCATCGTCAGGGATCAGGGTTTTCCATTTCCCACGGAAAAATACTGTCCAACGTAAGGCGGACAAGTCAGGTAGCAGGATTGAAATCTTGGACTTCAAAAATGCAAATTTCAGCAAGCTTAGGTCACTAGTAGGGCAAGTGCTGCGGGACTAGGGACCAAAGTTGAAAGGTGTGCGCGAAGAGTGGTTGTTCCTTAAGGACACGATCCTTGAACCACAAAGGAAGTTCATTCCCATGCGGAGAACAGGTAACAGAAGGGCTGGGAGGCCTTCTGCTAAACAGGGAAATCACAGTCCTCTTAAGAAAGAAGAAAGTGGCTTATAAACAATGGAAAATTGGGGCAGGACCCAAGGAGAACTGTTCCATGATGGCTCGCATTTGCAGGAAACAGATAAGAAAGGCTAAGTGGCGACCAAACTTAGATTACCAATGGGAATCAAGGACAACAAGAAGTCATTTAGGTACATGGGGAACAGGAGGAAAACAAATGGGAGTGTGGGGCTATTGCTCAACAACTCAGGAGACCTGGTTACTGGCACCCAGGAGAGAGCTGAACTCCTGAATGACTACTTTGCCTCGGTCTTTCACCGGAACAAGGGGAAAACCATGCCAGGTAGAGTAGAGGATGAGCATAGTAGGAATAATCACCTTCCTACAATTGCCATAGAAATGGTGTATATGTCTAATTTTTTTAATTGGTCATACAAGTCAGCAGGACCGGATGATTTTCATCCAAGAGTGCTGAAGGAGCTGTCCAAAGTCATTGCAGAACCCCTGGCGAAACTCTTCCACAACTAGTGACATTCTGGAGAAGTTCCTGAGGACTGAAAGAGGGCCAATGTTGTGCCCATCCACAAGAAGGGCAGGAGGGAGGACATGGGTAACTATAGGCCTATCAGCCTAAGTTCCATCCTAGGGAAAATCCTAGAAAAGTTCATCAAGCAGTCTATCTGTGATAAGCTTGCAGAAGGTAAGATTCTGAATAACAGCCACCATGGCTTCTTCACGAGCAGATCTTGCCTTACCAACCTCACCTCCTTCTGTGACCAGGTAACTTTCCACGTGGACACGAGAGAGCAGGTTAATGTTGTATACCTAGACTTCCAAAATGCCTTTGATCTAGTATCCCGCAATATCCTCGTGAGAAAATTGAAAGATTGTGGGCTTAACTCTGAGACATTCAGGTGGGTGAGAAACTGGCTGCAGGGTAGAACCCAGAGAGTCATAATGAACAGATCTGTCATCCTAGTGAGAAGTGAGCAGCAGTGTCCTGCAGGGGTTGGTACTTGGTCCAGTACTTTTCAACATCTTTAGTAACGATTTGGATGTGGGAATGAAGCGCTCACTAGCCAAGTTTGCAGATGACACCAAGTTATGGGGAAGCGTGGTCACGTTTGAAGATAGGCTACAGATACAGGCGGACATAGACAGGCTAGCAAGTTGAGCAGATCAGAACCTGATGAAGTTCAATGTCAAGAAATGTAAAGTGCTCCACTTCGGGACAAGCAACCCCCAGCACACCTACAGGCTTGGTGGAACCAAACTGACTAGCACCACGAATGAAAGGGACCTGGGGGTAATAATAAACCACAGTATAAATGTGAGCCAGCGGTGCAAGACTGTACCCAGTAGGACAAATAATACTCTGGCATGCATCAATCGATGCATCTCCAGCAAAACCAAGGAGATGATTCTTCTGCTCTACTCGGCACTCATGAGACCGCAGCTGGAGTACTGTGTCGAGTTCACCAGGGCACATGAGGGGGGGGAAAAGTGAAGTAATGGCCACAGACTCCTGGAAGTTCGATTCAGGCTCAACATTAGGAAAAACTTCTTCACAGTCAGGGTGTCCAGACTGTAAAATAAGCTCCTTCCAGAGGTAGTGCAGTCACCTACCCTGGTAATCTCCAAGAGGAAACTAAACAGTCACATTGCTGGGGTCACCTGACCCCCAGTTATCTTTCCTGCTTGGTGCAGTGGGCTAGACCCAATGATCTTCCAAGGTCCCTTCCAGCCTTACCATCTATGAACATGGATTTTCCCCCTTACTGGAGTAAGCAGAGAAACCCCGTGAGCTCTGCAGGCTGGAAGAGTTCCACCCTGCCAAGGGGCTGGGAGAGAGCCAGGAGGAGGGCAGTTGGGCAGGGGATACCACGTGCATGTACATGTACATGGCTCCAGACAGCCTGAAGAGCAGTTCCCGCAGGGAAGTGAGGGTGGGGACTGAGGCCCCTGTTGGGAGGGAGGGAGTTGGGCAGGGCTGGGGCTGCTGCCCTGCCTGGTAGTGTGTGGGGCTAAGGGCCCAGGGCCGCAATGTACACAGTTGCAGGGCCCCGGTGGGATGGGACCGTGGGGGACTTGTCTAGGGGTTGGGGGGTAGGGCCAGTTGCCTGCCACTGCATGAACTCCCAGGGGAGTATGGGGGGAACATGCCCTCCAGATCTGTGCACAGAGCGGGCTCATGCTTCCACCCTGCTACCTTTCCCTGGGGCCTTGGCAGCCTGGCAGGTGTGACCCAGCACTGCAGGGCAAAGCATAGCCACACAGCAGAGCTGCTTGCTGCTATGAGCTCTGCGCTGTCCTGGCAATGTGTCTCCTGTGTGCATGGGGACAGCGGACTAGGGTTGTGGCCCTTGCTCCTGGCCCTACCCCCTGCCCGAGCCTATAGCAGGCAGCGGGGTGGGGGCAGGCAGCTCCATTCTCCACTGCAGCAGCCGCTGCCTTCTCTCAGGGGCAGGGGGGCTGTGGACCTGGATTCCTGGCCCCATAGCCCTGGCAGCTTGGGGCCCCTTTGGCAGGGCTGTGGGGCTGTTGAGGAGGAGTGAGGAGCACCAGCAGAGCCAGGGGGCTGTGGGGGGCCTTTAATTTTAATCACAAATTTTGGGAGTTTTATCAGAGAATTTTTCCTTTTTTTTTTTTTTTTCCCATCAGGGAAAATCAGGATCCCTGCTCATCATTACGCAAGAGAATTCTGATTGAAAACTTGCTAGAAATTACAAGTTGAATAAAATCCAAATACTAGGTTTTGGAGATTAGTGCAGGTCTAATGAACTGTGTGTTTGTGTTTGAGTAGAGAACTGTTTTGGTTCAATTTGCAAATAAGAGCATTCACGAAAAGCACTGTATGTATATGCTAGAATTTTTTTTACTTGCCATCCCATTTAAAACTATGAAAATAACCTCCTGTCTCCATTAATAATATGTGTTGATTTTGATTAGGTTGCAACTGAAAATAACCTTGCTGTATTTGTGACCCCTTTTTAAAAAAACCTGCAGTTTAACAGCTGTTTGCAGCAAAAAGAAAGGATGGTTTAAATGTGGCAATTCTGATGTGCCAAATTGGATTTATCTTATACCTCCCAATATTTAATCAAATAATGTGATATTATATAATGAACACCACGGTAAAAACAGTAAATCTAATAGCAGAACCTTTGAGGAAAATAATGCACAGAGGTCACTAAAATCAAATTGTGTTCCAGAATAGATAAGGAAACTTACTTTTAGGGAAACTTGTTAGTTCCAGTGTGCTCAATTAGCAAGTTCTTATTTCATTTATTTACAAAATAGACATCCTTTATTACCCTACCATTTAGAAAAGCTTAAAGTTTTAAATTTGGTCATTTTTACTGTTTTGTCTTTGAACAGAAACAAAGAACATCCTGACTTAAAACTTTGGTGTCATCCTTGGAAACCATTTACAGTTGGTGAAAAAACTGCTACTAAACGCATCATTCACATTGAAGAGGACTGCTACAAAGAAGGGACTACAAGTTATAGAACTTTCAGTGGAACAGTTGAAAAACCCTCAACTGTTCCTTCTTTGGAGGAGTCTTATATCACTAGTGAACACTGTTACCAGAAACCTCGGGCCTACTACCCAGCTATAGAGCAGAGACTGGTTGTGGAAACCAGGGGTTCAGCTATGGATGATGGAACAAACCGAATTAGAGAGAATGGGGATGATGCCCTGTCAGAGAGATTTGGATGGGATCTGAACAGAGAAATATGCAAGCTGGAGAATGAGTCCAGACATAATTATACCAAGGTATATTGATATTGGAATATCTGTCTTTCTCTAGGGCATTTATTAGCTTCTCTGGTAAAAATATGTACTTTTTGGAAAATCTGTAACTACTACTTGGAGTATTAACCATATTAATTCCCACGTTAGCTACATGTTTGCCTTGTACTTCCAGACCTGGCATTTTCTTGTCACCAGTCTGCACTGGTGACCAGAAAGTTCTGCCTGTAAACTGAGACATTGGGGAAATGAATTCTTAACCACCACTTAATTCCTTCTTAGAAACTGTGGGCTTCTTTACATGTGCTCCGAGGTTGGAGGGAAAGGGAGAGGGAGGCATTTTAATTAGCGCAGCTCTAGGGAGCTGCACTAATTAAAATGCCCACAGTATCTCATGTATTCAGCGTCCCACACTTCAAAATGGCAGCAGGGACGCTTTAACTAAAGCTGGTTCAACGAGCTTTAGTTAAAGCACCCCCCACTGCCATTTTGAAATGTAAGAATGCTGAATACTCATGATGCCATGGCTGCTGGCGCATTCTAATTAACTCAGTTAATCAAGTCTGCTCTGACATCTTCTAATTAGAATGCCTCAGAGCAGGCATCCAGTATGTGTATAGGTGCCTTTTGGCTTCATGTAGAGCTCAAGGATATCTACAATACTTCATGCATGTAGTTCATTCCTTACATGTTAGGAAGTTTAGAAAGCTGCTGTTTAAGTGTTTGGTTTACATGATTCATTTGCTGCTAGGCTTTTCCGCCCTTTTAGTAGCATTATATTTAGAATACTAATTGGAAACCTCAGACTTCCAGCCTCAAATTCAGAGCAGTGTCATTAGTGTTCATACCTCTCCACTGTTTGACTTTTATACATGTTCCTGATGCTCACATGTGGGTTGGGCTATATCCACCAAGTAATTGGTCTAGTGATGGGTTGGTTCACAGCATTGTACCAGGAACAGTCATCTCATGGATTATGAACAGACATCAAATATGTCCCAGGAGAAAGTGGTTTCTCCCAGGACAAAGTAGTCATTCAGAAGGCCATTTCCATTGTCCTAAGTCAACGCCCTGAAATCAGTGTGGGCTTAAAAAGTAGTGGCAGTTTGTCCTGGGACATCGCAAAATGCATCTGAACAGTTATTACAGAACAGTGTTCTAAGGCAAGTGGCCCAGTTGGTCTTCCAGCCATCCAGCAGGGCACTGCCTCTGCCCCAATCCTGGCTTCTCTTGAATATAGCGTCAGGCTAGGGAGAGCCTGGTGGCAGATATCTACTGCCTGGAGGTGACAGGAAGGCACAGGTGGCCTCACCCTGGATAGTGAGTTGCAGGCCATTCTTTGTTCATCACCTGCTTGAGATCAGCATCAGAGCTTGCACCCACCCACACAACTGTATATACATTCATCACTGGGAACATCCATCCATCAGGGACATCCTCAGATCCATCCTTTGCTTACTGCACCAAAGTTGGTCTACCCATCCATTACTTGCCTTCATCTGTTCGTCCTCTTGCAACTATGGGCCCTCTCTCCTTATCCAGTGTCTTGTGCAAATGTGGCACCAGCTGGACCAGGGGGGAGCACCATTTGGGAAGAGGTGAGGTCCCAGCGGGCACTCCACTAAGTGATCTTTGAATAGATCACCCTGAAAATGGCAGCCCATGGACCTGAGTGATAGGGTTCAATACCACTCCAAATGCGAAGTTCTAAGACAGTGGTTTGTGAGGGCATGGAACACCACTTGCGTTTTAGGCACACACAGTTCCTCATAGAAGGCACATGTCATCCTGTCTCATGTCCTTGTGGTGAATAACATGGTGATGTGCCAGAACATGATGGACAAGGCCTGTATGACCCTGGAGAGTGACAAGAACTCCAAAGGCACTTCTCAGAAGCATGCAGCCTTCATGGAAGACCTCGGCAACAACCCAGGAGATGAGCCAGGTCAAGGACTCCCAGGCTGTCTTGGACAGTGGCATGGACTCAGAAATGGACCTGGGCTCAGGCAGGAAGCAGCAGGAGTCCTCCAGCCCTCTCTTGTCCATAGCATCTTAGACGGCTCTTACTCTTGGTCAGGTTTCCAGAGCCAACAGGCTCGCAAACAGCTCGGGGCCTCATGAGCTCCCCATTGGTGGCTAAGATGCCCTTCTCCCACTCCCAGGGACTGAACATACAAGAGGACCCAACCTGCAACAAGACCCAGCAAATGGTAAGTGGCAGCCCAAAGTTCAGTTAGGGTAGGAAAAGGCCCAGGAAGGTTAAGGGGTGTGTGAGGAAGTGGAACACTCCCTGCAGAACTCCATGTCATCACTTGGGGATTGTTGCAGTAGGCCCCTTCCTCTATTCAATTACATTGTAGAGGTGCATTGGAACACCATGGCCTTCTTAGGTGATTGCCCTAGGATCCTCTTTCCC